TCTAGGGGTCCCTTCCAACCCAAAGCATTCTATGATTCTATGTTACTAGTTCCCATAGGAGACAAAATCTGGCAGTTCATTCTCTAGAAAGCCCTAGATCAGGTGGGTTAGTGTCTTTATTATGGAGGAGAAAAGCGCTTCATGAATTCCAGATTCTCTGCTAGCTGGAGCCCCAATTGGTAGAAAGTCTACATCAGTCCTTTCCCTCAGATGGGATCTTCGAGCAAAAAGCCATGGTTAGGAAATACAGAAATCCATAGCAAGGAGCATCTTCTAGGAACAATTCCAGCCAAATTAGTACAGCGGCAGCAACACAGGCATCTGGGAAGTTTAGGAGAATAGAGCTGGCACCGACAGCTATGAAAGACCAAATCTTTCCAAACGCCTGTCATAGGAGACCAAAGAGAGAGAAGACAGAGGAACTTAACAGATATCTGAAGAGAGTGATGTGTAATTGGAATTCAGAACTGTATCACAGCTGAAAACAATTTTCTTTGCAAAAGAAGTCAACATACATATGGATCTCAGTTGCAAATAAAAGGTTTTGCTTGACTAACTGCAAAAGAAAACAACTGCCAAAGAAAAAGTTAGGCTGGGCAAAGGAACAAATTCCTCCTACATCAAAAGTTCTGATTCTTATGAAATAATATAAAATGAGTAAGAAAACCAAAACAGAACACAAAAGAAATCCCCCACATATCATTAATCAGTAATTATGGGCAGAAAAGCAGTGCTAATGTCCATGAGATTGCACTTTAGCTCAGAATATTCCTTGGCAGGAAACTTTCAGAAGTAAAGGCAGTATTTTTAAAACATCCAGAATTGCCTTATCATCATCTTTACATCTGTAAACAAGATTGTGTTTTGGTGAAGACAGAATATTATTCTAGGAACAACAATAGGGATGGCATATTCATAAAGACATCCAGCTCCTAATTCCAGGAACGGTCTTGAAAGTTAACTACATATATATACATGTATGTGTGTGTGTGTATATATATAGTAGTCTAATGTTAATTTAGGGTTAGAGTAAGCAACTGCCCCAAAGCACAGCAACAGAGCGATGCTCCACAGCCAAACTCACAGCAATTAAGGACTCTGCTTTGGTAAGTCCACGGGGTACCACCATAGGCAAGGTGACACGGGAATGAAAGGGTGACAGCAAGATACGGTTGTCTTTGACCCACAGAATTAGGAGACATGGCTTAACTACCCAGTATTTTCTTAAGTATCTTTGGGGATACTCCCGCAATGAGGCTGCTCCAAAAAGGAACAGAAATGTTTTTAATTCTCTCTCTTCTCCATTATATACCCTTTTTCAATGCGGTTTTAACTGCAACAGTAAAGACAGCACTAGTGTCCACCAAAAGGTGAGACACTGCTACCAAAGGAGATACAATTAATAAAACAAGTCTGAAAAGGAGATGCTCCATCGCTGCAAGAGATCAGTCTTAAGCAGGGAAAGTTGACCAAAGCTGAGCAGTTGGCCACAGCATCTTCGGATGAAGGCCAGCGAAAAACCAGTACACAGACCTTCAAAGGTATCAGAGGCCTTAACAGCAAAAAAAGATGGTGCAATTGTAGAAGCATCACACACGGGAGTCCCTTGGATCAGTCACGCGGTTTTATAATTAGATCAAGCCTCTCCTTCTGCTGGAGCTCCTTGAGCATGCCACCACAGGTGATAAAATACCATCCCAGATGATAAAATACCATCCCAACTGCACTGTTTGCAGAATCCTTGTACAGGCTCAGTCAACCTCTTAAGTAATGCCAAAGACCATTTATCCATTATATGAAATGGTTGCTTAGCAAATGCTAACAGCAAAACCAAAAGCAACGTTTGCAATAACAGTTCTTTCATCAGTTTCTCATCACTATTCCTTGACCACCCGTATCAAGTAATTAATATAGAAAACACATCCCACAACTCCAGTAAACACTTTCTGAGCACCTGCCTGAGAAGAAAACAAGATTTGCCCCAGAGGGAATTCACTTGGTTTGACTTGCAGGTATAGAATGATCCAGTCGAGCGCCTTTCATTAAACGATGTCAACTACATTTGAAAGGATAGCACCAGGGTGGATAATAAATGGTAAGTCTGTAATCTAGCAACTGGGCTCAGTGCACCTGCCTGTTTCTTTGTTGTCCAGCTTCAGACAGAGATTCTGTAGGAAGGAGAAAAATGTGGGGGTTCCCTCTCCCCCCCAGACAACATGCAGAGGCCCAGTTTCTGCACGTCACTGACCAGGGTCTCCAGATGACACAAGGCAGCCAAAATTGCATTTGTATGTTAGTGAAGCCATTTTGAAGGACACTAACCCAGACCCTGTCATTTGAGGTTAGTGCCTACTTCAGAGCAGCACCCGCAATCCTCTTCCCCAACTTGCCTGATGCCAGTGGAAGTCTGGCAAGCTGCCGCTCCTCAGCCAAGAACAGCTCCAGGCCTTGGAAGGGTGCGGAGGATGGGGGAGGAAAGCTATCGCACGGTTAGCAATTACAGATGCCAACAAGCTTTCAGGATGCCACTTGATGCTGGCAAAGAAGTAGCCCTTCTGGCATTAGTTAGGGAGGACATTGCCTGAAGAGAGAGTGTGTGCTGTATGTATATGGGTGCATGTATTTTTAAGGGGTTAAAGTAGCATGTTAGTCCTTGTTACCCCCAAATTATCTGTGACTGTTCATATGTTATAAAAGCTTTCATGCAATAAAACAAGACTGGTACCCTTCAGGCTGGAAGAAAGACTGTTCTGTAAAACAACGAATAACAACATCACAGGCAGCACCTAAGCGTTTAAGAAAATTCATTCAAACCAGAGGTTTAAAAAAAATAATCCAAAGTAATTTTCTACAGAATGAAATAAACTGGTGAAGCTCAGTGATACAGGATGTTATAGAGGGCAATATATGAATCAAAAGGAAACAAAAAGTAAGCTTGTGGAAAACAGGCCCAGCATATCTATTCAGACAGAAGCAATCCTTGTCTCTCCAAATAACTGAACAACAAAATACCAGAACTAAGGACAGCCCCTGGTGAATGATAACCTGTATGTCCATTCCTTTCACGAGCTATTTCCCCGTGCGTGGGCAACCTCAACATCATGAGCATTACAAGAAACAGGACGTTAGGCAAATACGAGAGTCTCAGGAAGCCTTCCGTCACTTGGCCTCGGGTCTCTAAAAATGCAGAAACAATGTACATTAAAATTAATTCATTCAAGATTATTCTATTCCCAGTTTCTGAGCAAAACCAAAACATTTGCATGAAATGAAACACAACAGCACATACTAGGTTAAAAAGTGAGGAACAATTGCAAATTAATCCATCCCGATTTCTGATTTTTTGTTAGTTATTTCAACTTCTTCCACTTGCAATGTCTTGTAAGGACAGAGCAATCAGCTTCCGCCGAATAAATGCTGCTTTTAAAAATGAGCCTGAGCCCACTCAACACGAGACAAGGCAAAACAAAAACCAAGTAATGCTTCTGGTGCTGAAAGACAGTATTTTGTAGGAACAAAACATGTAGCATCACATGTCAACACCTTTATCATTTAAGTTCTTTTTTTTAATCCATCTTTCTTATTTAACAGACTACTGTGACACATACACCTCTGCAAATCTTATACTAGTACTGCCATCACTATTCCTGTTGTTTTTAAGCAAAGAAAAAGTCACATTTATTTTGTAGTAGCAATAGTTTCTTTTTTATTTTTAATATACTTTAGGAAACAATATACAAAGCTGAGCTTTGCCACCATTTTCAAACGGTGGGTTGCTCCAATTACACAAATTCAGCGTTTTGTGATGGTTAAGAACAGCAGTCAGCACCAGACTTAAACAGTTAGCTACAACACAAACATCCTTCGAAATGAAATGTCATAATATCAAGACAGGTAAACCAGGAGTTAACATATGACAACTGTCGGGGAGGTGTCTTAAATCATTCTTGTTGAATTTTATATTTCATTAAATATTTTATACACATTTTCCTGTTTACAAGTTTTAAACAAAACCTCCCTTGAGGAATTATTTAAGTACAAAAATGTTCAACAAGAACAGTTCTAATAGAGAGTCCCCAAACAGACCAAATTTCAATATGTGTTGACCAAAGGAAATGAAAACCAGTGTTTCTTTGTTTTAACATGTTTATTACAACAGATACAATTCACATCTGACTAGCTTTTTTTTTCCTCTTTCCCCTCCCACAACCATGTTAACATGTTCATTGGGCTATTTCCTTATATTTGAGCAAGTAATGTACTTTCAGCACACATGCCCAGCAGTACTATAAGTCCATTCTTACAGGGTGCAAATGGAAATACGTTTCAATAATTTATACAAACAAGTGGGTTATGCTCAATCACTGCAATTTTAAGCTACTGTACACAGGAATGAAAAGATTATAGAAAAAGTGCCATAGCAACAGTGCCTTAAGAAAAGAGAAAATTAGAAGCATTAAAAAACTGATAAAATCAGATTTAGGATTTCTCGGGGAAATGGAACACAGAAAATGAAAAACATTTCTCTGCAAAACAGAAATGGAGAAGCACTGCTCTCTATTCGGTGCAAGTGTGGAAACAGTTGTTTCATGGTATTTTGTACATTACCCAAATTGTTGCAGCCTTAGACACAGATCGCCTGGCGCTTGCATTGAATTTTAGGAAATGCAAGATTTCTGAATGATAAATTAACTAAAAAAAAAAAACAAAAACAAAAAAAAAAAAAAAAGAAAGCTAATTTTGCAGACAGGTTTACATGTAAAAGGCTAGGTATTTAGCCACCTCAGCGTTGATTAGTTTTGGATGTCTAAGCTCTGATACACATGGCTTCCCATGGCTTCACTCTACAAAACATATTTACAACGTGAAGAATACATCTACAAGAAATCTACATTTCAAGGGTTTTACAAATCATTCTTGTATCTTTCCCCTGAATTTGACTCCCTCCTGTCCCCTTCCCCATGTCAACTTTTTTTCTGCCCAGCTCAACGGTCCAAAGTCTACTCAAATGCAGCTCAAAAGTGTTAAGACTGGGCATCAGTTTAATAGTTCCTGTACTCAAAACCATGTGCAATTGTTTACAACTTTTCACACCATGAAGGAATTCTGATTCTTTAGCTTTTCAAGTTCTTTAATTTGTTGCCTCAAAAAAAGTATCCTGCAAGAAAAAAGAAGTAAATTAGTATAAACATTTCCATTATACAGAGATACCAAAGAAGTATCTACAGAAGTACTACAATTTCAGTGAAAGATAGCAAGCTCCTTAGTGATATAATAAAATTCAGATATTTTGAAATTAATTCCCAACCTGTTCAATCACCTACAAACATCACATGCAGATGCACAGAGACCTGCCATGTTTGATACCTTAGTTCAGAAAATTTAACTTGCTGTATTGCATTATGACTGATACACAGTTACGTTTTAAGCCTGCTCTTCACTTGAATTTAATTCCCAGAATAAGTGGGACACTAGAAGAGTACATCGAGTAACTGAATTATTCTGAAGAATAGTATCATGTCTGTCTTATGCAGTTTTCCACACTGTACAACAACCCAAAGCGCTCATGAATTTTTTTAAACAAGCAAGTTTTCTTCTAGGTGCAACACTTTTTTTCCAGTATTTGGCTCTGTGGTCAGTGGTAGTCTCTAGTGATGGTAAGCTCCAACCTCAAAATATTTGGTTATTAAAAGACATCTAAGGAAAAAAAGTTGTAACTACACCTGGCTTCAAAATCAATTATATTGCTAGCAATTCCCTCATACATTTTTCCTTCTTCTACTGCACTGACATAAACAGTTATTGTGATTAATGAACATTTGGTTTACAGAACTGTTTCCCAGAATTTTTAATTAATATTTTGAAACAACTGTTCATGATGCTGAAGTATAACGCAAGCATGTGAATGAATTAAGAAAATGTTCAGGGAAAGCTGAAGTTTCATATAAATATTCTATAAAGTTCAAAGCAACTTTAATAGATGCAAGAAAGAGCATCCCCTCTTCAGCTGGTTTTTGTTGAACACTTTTCAAATATGTGCCCAGTTCAGTAAAAATGAATTTTGTACTGAAAAGGAGGTGAAAAATGATTAAGATAGACATACTGAAAACACCATTAAACTTAAAAGGTGTGGGCATATAAAATATATCTGTCAGTGAAAAGTGTGCCTTTTCACGTGCTGTCAGTTATAGTTAAAGCAATATACTCGCTTTGCCTAAAGTACCCTCTTAGAACAAATCTAAATAGTTTCTCGTCTGTGCAACAGTACAGAAATAATATCATCATTCAAATGTATTGCCTTTGATAATCCCATCCTTTGCAAAAGCCTCCCCCCACCAACTTGTTACTTATGCCATGTATTCCTCATCTTTGGGATTGCAGCAAAAATAAAAGATACATGTTATCATAGATTCAAAGTCATAATAATCGTTATCCATTGATAGCTTAAGGATACACAGTGTACAAGAAACAAGGTGCTATTCAGTGAGCTGAACAATGGAATTTGACATGTTATTTCAGATCAAATGTGCACCCAGAGAGAAATGAAACCTTAGGAAATGAAACCTGTAAGAAACTAAGCAGTTCATTAAATATACTACAGAAATTGTAATTCATGTAATGAAATTATAAAGTTTCAGAAAGAATGGATATTTCCAATTCTTCATTAGGAAAGATTTACAAATATATTATAGCCTACTTCTGACTAAAGGATTGTTTTACTAACTGCCAAAAAGCAAGAGCTTCTAGGATAAAACTAGCTATTTAAACATCATGCAACACTATTAAAGCAGCTTACAACACAAAATCAGAATCAGTGTATTCAAACTGTAGCATGACTTAATAGATGGGACAACATCATTCAGAAAGGAAACTGAATAGGACAGTAGATTCAGCATTATGACTACTGGAGGAAAGTTTCAGCATGTACTGTAAGACTAAACTTTTCAATCTTGCACAACTGTCTTCAACAGCGTGGTTTGGTATTGCTTCAGTGATGCACAAGACACCCACTATTATCGACTAAGCAGAAGTCTACTTTGCTATAATCAACATCTCACTAAAGAATCCCAAGATTTTCTCAGACGCCTCCTACCTAAGTAACAAACATTAATTTTTCCTTAGCTTGTGGTATCAACGACACCTGTTCAAACTTGCTCCGGCTTTAGACCTAACAAATGTCTCATGCAAACTGTAGTGTTTTAAGATGAGTATAAACCATGCAGATGTGTACCTGTGTGATCCATGCATGAGGTATGGGCAGATATTTTACAAGTGTGCTGAACTAGTGAGAGTTAATCAGTTTCTCCTAATGCACTAATGTATCTGGAAAGATACTTCTTTTGTATCTAAGTGAAAATACATACAGAAGTTGCATATCTGGATCTATTTATTGGAGACTAAGAGGTATCTGTGGGAAACAGGTAGAATGTATACAGGGAAAACAGCTTGCAAACCTGGCAAGTATTACAAAGCCATCAGCAAATATGCTAAGTACAGCTCATGCGAAACAACACCAGAATGAGAATTCTAATAACACCCTGAAAATTACTGATTTCAAAATAAACACAGAGCACACACTTACCTTTGCTCACGCAAAGTTGCTTGAATTTCACATACTCGAACTAAAGACCTTAAATTCTTTAATTCAGTACAAATTTCTGACATATGGACACTTCCCATGTTATGGGCTTCCTCACGTAATCTTGATGCCTGCAACAGTTATACATAAAGGTTAGGATTTTGAATCTTGCATTGGAAACAACTGGCTGTAGCCAGAGGATTGCTGGATGAGTGTCTTCAAACAGCAAAGCACTCTGATTTCAAAAGGGAACACTAAGTCAGAAGTACATTAAATTCTCTACAAAAGCCCATTTAGAATCAGAAATGAACAAACACTGGCTGCCAACAAATTGTCTAACCCAGGACCATGCTTGATCCTAACAAATGTTTACCCAACCATCTTGAAAGACAGTACATGATGGGGCTCCGAGTTTCTGAAGTAATTTGTTCAAGTAATTAAAAGGCTCTGCCCCCTATTTCAATGGCAGACTTAAGTTTCCCATCTAAATTAAGCCTTAGTACAAAAATAATTGAATGCCATCTTCTTCCCAACTACCTTATACAGGCAAAAAAACCCCTCTGCAACCTTTTTCAGGTGTTCTCTTCCAGGCAAACTCCATTATTTTAATATCCCCACTTAGTCAAGTGGAGACAAGCAGAAGTATAAATTTAGAAGGCATGACCTATCCCCAATTTGTGCATTTCTTAAAGTGTTGTCACTGAATTGGATATATAATTCCACAGAACTCCCCTACAGCACCAAGGAGACTAGTATAATTACTCTGAGGTCCTGTGTATCACACTGCAATAAAGAAAGAGGACTTCTTGCAAGCGGCACCCTGAAAAAAAAATTGTTTCAAACAGATCCTTCCCTGCAGTATTACTGTTCAGCAATGTTATTCTCTGGTGTATTGGGTCTGGCTGGGATGGAGTTAATTTTCTTCACAGCAGCCCATGTGGTTCTATGTTTTGGATCTGTGATCAGAACAGTGTTGATAGCACACCAGTGTTTTAGCTATTGCTGAGCCGTGCTTACACAGCTGATGCCCCCCAGCAAATAGGATTCGGGTGGACAAAAGGCAGGGAGGGAATGCAGCTGACCACAGGGATATTCCATACCATGTAATGTCCTGCTCAGCAATAAAACTGGGAGGCAGTTTTCCAGGGGTTGCCAGTGCATCTGTTAGCCGGTGACAAGCAACTGCTTTTGCATCACTCCTCCCCTCCCCCCTTTTTACTTATTAAACTGTCTTTATCTCAACGCAAGGAAGTTTTCTCACTTTTGCCCTTCCCATTCTCTCCCAATCCTACTGGGGGGAGAGCGAGCGAGTGGCTGTGTGGTGCTTAACTGCCTACTGGGGTTAATCTACAACATCCACTTACGTACTCACATACTTGATTTTTCCTTCCTCAAAATAATGGTATTTAGCACAGGTCTTCATCAACTTCTGGTATTTCTCCAGTTCACAAAGCAGCACTTTGTGTTCTAATTGCCTGTATTAAAAGTTTTCTTTTCTGGAGTGTGCTGACATCCAGGAGTACCCTGGTCTCCAGTAGGACATCACTTCGCACGTCCTCCCTACACAACTCCATTGCAAACTATTAATAACACCTTTCAAAGTACTTCTTTTTAAGCTGACCAGTCACCCATCTTAAAGTAATCTCATTTAAAAGGCCTTAAAATAATTTCTGCATACAAAAGTCTTGTTAAAAGGTGTTAACAGTCTTGCTGCAAACCAGGACATAACATTTACTGCTTTCCCGTACTACCAAAGCCTGATACTTCATCAAAATTAAAAAAAATCCCAAACTAAAAGTGACAATGTCCATGCTGACGATTAACAGGGTTTTCTTTTCACGTGTCTGTAAAAAGGTAAATTCATCATTTTTTAGATATTGTTCAATACTCAAGAGTATCTCTGTAATTACTGCATTGAGACCACCTACAATTCCGTTTCTCACTTTCCTTAAAAATAAAACAGTTATGTTGATTATTTTCCAATTAACCACATTACTGGATTGTTTTCCAGTTTTCCACACTAACTGCTTCTTATGAGTTCTGCAAGATAACTGCTAGTGGTTCAAGAATTGTTTTCGCTACTAATTTCTGCATAGTACATTTCTTCAAGTCTGACTGCTTTAACACATACCTGAACTGGCTCGCCTAATTATTTACTTCCTTATTTTTCAGTTTACTCTGGCATGTGCTCTTATGCCCTAATTTCAATTTAAGCTATGCATCTGGTTAGAAATCTGAAGAAACCAAGGCACTGCATATTTAGCCTCTCCACTTTCATCTAGCTTACCTTCTTCACTATGTATTGCACCTATACTTTCATTCACTTTTTTTTTTAATATCAAATATCTGACTTAAGTCCCTCAAGCATTACTATTCAAAACTGGTCTATAAACAACACTGTCACATGAGATCATCTGAAATAGCAGACAGGACAATATAGCACGTAACACTTGGCACAAAGGTAGAAGTATCCAACTGAGTACATAACTGCCTAGCATTAGCTGGGGTTTTTTGATCTCCACAGCAACAGCTCAGTCATTTGACTCGGTACAGGTTGGTAATGTCTTAAAATTGAATTAAAAAAATTAATGAAAAGAAACAAAACAAGAACCCCAAACAGAGTCCAAATGGGTATCAGTCTAGATTACACTTCTAAGAGTTATCCTGCAAAGTTACTACCCAGGGGCCTCCAGTGTAGGCATGTAACCACTCTTCAAAAGACCAAAGTAAACCAGGCTAGGTAAGATTAATATCTCATACGGACTGTGTCAGACAGGGTGGCCTGCTAAAGGATTTGAACTAGACTCAACCAATACGGTTCCTTTGAGGAGTAATACATTCCAAGCAGCTGACATGCATCCAGTTTCCCTGTATTACAACAGGATAGGTTTCATGCAGTTAGCTATAAAATATAGATGGCAATTCTACTGGATTTCCCATTATGTAAAAATAGCCCATAAATTCAGTCTGAGCCCTTTACATCATCTTAAAAATTGGGTACAACAAACAAGGCAGAGTTCCTTTTTCACTGTGCAGAGCTAACAACTCGGTGACTGTGGATCAGTCTCAAATAGTTTAACTTTGTCACCTAATCCATAACATTTTTCACATAACAAAAATATCATTATTATAAAAAATTGTTGAAATTTATGTTCTTTGTAAATTTCAATAGAACTTTGGCAGTAAGAAAACTGTTTGAGGACAGCTATTCATCTGAGAGAATTTCAAAACCACTAAATGGCAATCTACATGTAAAACCTGCAGGTCTGGCTTAATCTTTCTCCCCTCTCCTCTTTTCTGGCTAAGGCCAAGTATCACAGTTTTTTTTTTAAGTACTTCTAATTCCTAGAAAAAGCAACCTGTGTTAGAAAAACAGATTTTAAGCCATACATTTTGCACTCTTCACAGGGAAGAAAGCACAAGTGTACTCACCTGCTTTTCTGCATGATCTGCAGGCCAGCCTTGCACATGCTTTATAAGATTTTCATTGAAGTGTGCTGCTAGCGTAGGTGTTAATGAACAAGTGGGTCGTACAGATGTATTTTGCGGTGCAGGTGTTGAATTTGATGCACTAGTGCTAGAGGTATGATTTGGACCTGGTGATGGGCTTCTTTGACTACTAGAAGAGAAATTTTTTAAAAAAGGTGAGAATTTAAGAACTTATGTAAACCTATAGAGAAATAAGCACTTAAAATTCATTGCTTTCAGCCACAAAAATACATAAAGCATTTAAACCACAAGTAAATACTTCTGGTAGACCAAACCTGTGCCACTTTTCTACAAACCTCCTGCTTATATGGGAACTGTTTGTGTGCTACAATATAACAGGGTTTGTTTGGGTTTTTTTTTTCCAGTTGGTTGGGTTTTTTTGGTTTTTAACTTTAATAGCCACTCAAGAGATGTAAGCTGTGTCTACATTTTAGTGTTGGGTAGAGAATATATACATGTATGTTCTTCCTTCAAATAGCTGCATACCTAAGATTTTCAGTAAAGATGTATCAGATGGAGTCAAGCAGTTTTGTTCAACAGAATATCGGCAAGTATCACAATAATCATTAAGTACAAAGCCTGATGTCCTGATCTAAAAATATAGCCATATGGGCTTTGAGGAGTATAACCGTTTACTAATGCCAAAGCCACAACCACCTAGGTGACTCTAATACTGTATATCCTCACTTCAAGCGCTCAGGAGAACAAAAGTATCACAGGAGTAGTACATTTGTAGCTACCAACTTGACTGCTTTACCGGAACATACTCATATTCATGCTGCCATTTTTCTGGTTGGTGTGTTACCCTGTTGCTGGAGAATAGATGCATGGAGACCTGTTCAGCTGATGTGTACTGTAAGACAAATCAAAAACTCTGTGCCTTGGACAAAGCCTTTGACTGTCCTCTTTCAGATCTCCATGGGCAAGCAAACACAACATTTACAGTATCTGAACACTACACCAATACACAGCTTTTCCAGTTCTACTTTGCAACTGTAATTCTTGGTCAAAAACTTTCCTAATTTTTACTAAAAAACTCTCATGTTGATCTTGGCATAGCAGTCTTTTGCCATCCCCAGTAATCAAGATTATGTTATCTACAAAGTGTTATAGCCATTGCTTTAAGCAATGTTTTGTTTTGGTTTTTTGTTTTTTTTTTTAAACAGCATTCCTCTAATAATTCCTCTCACTCCACTTTACAAGAAATTTTTCCTCTCTACCTCATGATGCTCCTCATGTATGGGAGGGGCCTTCTTAAGAGTTCTTTCTTAAGAATCCCATCTCTTTATAAAAGTCTAT